CTTCCCTTGGGGCATGGGGCTGATGAGATCTAAACCCCATTGAGCAAAGGGCCATGGGCTAACAATCGGAGTGAGTGGTTCGGCAGGCAGTTTTGGAACGGAGCCGAAACGCTGGCATTGATCACACTTCTGGACGAGTGCGGTGGCATCGGTATAGAGGGTCGACCACAGTTTTGTCGTCCGGTAGCGTTCCGCTTGAGAGGTAAGCATAGATGGGATCCATCCAGCTTGGGTCCTGCCAAACGGCATGTACCTCGCTTTCGGTGGTGCTGCGCCGAGCGAGGATTTCGATCGGTACGTGGCGACCGACGTTGTCGTCAATTGCCGATGCCAGGCGTGACAGGGCATCGGCGTGGCTGTTCTCAGATCTAGGGACCTGGTGAACCTGATACGCGTCGAAGTGGTGTAGCAATCGGCGGGCATGCGTCAAGTAGGCAGCCATCGAAGTATCTTTGGCTTCGAATTCAGTCAATACCTTATTAACGACAAGTTGTGAGTCGCTGCATATCTTCAGTTGACGAGCACCCATTTCCTTGGCGAGCCGAAGGCCTGCTAAGAGTGCTTCATATTCGGCTTCATTGTTAGAAGCTTTGAATTGGAATCTGATGGCATACTCGATGGTCGTTTGATCAGGGGCTTTGAGAACTAAGCCGGCCCCGCTGCCTTGCCGGTTGGATGAGCCGTCGACGTAGAGAGTCCACAGGGGGATTGATGAAATAAATGTTCCTTCAGTAGGATGGGTGACTGAAGTCGCCGAAGCCGATTTAGGGTTGGCATCGCCTGGGGTGGCCTCGTCAGATGTAGTCAGTTCAGAGATGAAATCAGCTACGGCCTGCCCCTTTTCGGCAAGCCGAGGGTGATAGTGCATGTCGAATTCGCTGAGTTCGATGGCCCATTTCACTAGCCGACCTGATGTCTTTGGTCTTTGTAGTATTTGGCGCAGAGGCTGATTGGTGAGAACGACAATACTGTGAGCTTGAAAATACGGCCGAAGCTTGCGAGCTGAGAGGACGAGAGCGTAGGCAAGTTTTTCCAGCTCAAGGTACTGAATCTTGGCATCCTGCAGAGCGTGGCTAGTATAGAAAATCGGAAGCTCTATGCCGTTCGGCTTGCGAATGAGCACGAAACTTAATGCCGTTATCGATACCGATAGGTAGAGAATTAATTCTTCGCCGGGAAGAGGGGTGGATAACAGGGGCGCCCTGCTCATATAGGCCTTGAGGTCTTGGAAGGCGCGGTCGCATTCGGCAGTCTAGACAATCTGCCGTTTGCTTCCTTTGAGGGCTTTAAAGAAAGGAGCGCACCGATCGGTGGCCTTGGATATGAATCGGGCCAGAGCGGCGACACGCCCCGTGAGGCTCTGGATTGGCCAGTACCGAATTGGCACCACTTGACTTCTTGACCAGTACCGAATTGGCCAGCCAAATTGGGTATGTGACCTCTTGGATGAAGCCAATTGTTCGTAATTTGTCCACCTCGATTCTCATTGCTTCGTACCGTTCGGCATCATAGGCCCGCCGTTTCTGTCTAATGGGTTTGAAAGTAGAGCAAATGCTGAGCTTGTGACTGATGACGCTTGGGGCGATGCCGGGCATGTCGTCGTACGACCAGGCGAAGACTTCCGTATTGGCACGCAGAAAAGTAATGAAATCGGTCCGTAGTGCCGGACTCAATGTGGTGCCGATTCGTACTAGTCGTTCGGGCTGTGCTTCGGAGAGGGAGACCGATTCTAGATCCTCAATGGCTTGCGCTTGTGGGGTGACGGCCTCATCTCGGGGATCATCTGGTTTTTCTGTCCCCCTCCCGTTCGGCATAGGTGTTTTGGCCGAAACTGAATATGCCTCGCGAAGCGTCGCTCGTGCCGATTCCTTTGTCGCTGCAACGTAACATGTCCGTGCACTCAACTGATCACCTCGCACTTGGCCGACACCAACGTGCGTGGGGAACTTGAGGAGGAGCATGTGTGGTGACAGCATGGCCTTCATCTTCGTGAGCGATGTCCTGCCGATGATGGCGTTGTAAGCCGTTGGACAATCGACTACCAGAAAATGGGTGTAGATGATCGTTCGTCTGGGGATAGTGCCGACAGCGAACGGGAGCTGAACACTGCCGATGGGTTCAACCACGTCGCTAGAGAAACTTAAGAGGGGGATGATATCCTTATTTAGGTGCCGAGGGTCTATGTCGAGGGCCTCGAAAGCATTGGCAAAGAGGACGTTGACCGAACTGCCTGTGTCGATGAGGATTCGGCCTATGTCGAAGTCTGAAATGTCGGCTCGTATAATCATGGGATCGGAGTGGGGGAAAATGATGCCGCGCTCCTCTTCTTCAGAAAAGGTAATAGGTTCCCAACCGATTCGCTGGACCTTGTTGTTGCGGCCGTCATCCGCGCTAAGGATCTGGGGATATCGAACGGCACGAACGTAATCTTTGACAGATCGGTTGCTAGTTTCGGCGATGGGTGT